CGTATATATATATATATATACCATTATATATATATCTATATCTATCTATACATCTATATCTATCTATCTCTATATCTTGATCTCTATCTAGATAGAGATCGAGATAGAGATATATACCATCATCTCCACGCAGTGGAACTGACTGTAAGGCAACCAACAGAAATAACCTTTGCTTACAATCAAGCCACACGATGAAAACAGATTACAGTAAGACACTCTCGTCTACTTCACTTTAGTTTAAATTTCTTTTAGCACACAAAGCCCTTCACTATTAGATCTCCTCTCCTTGGTATCTGTTCCTATCCTGGCATTTGGTCCTGCAGGTATAATTAGCTTCACTTTTTTTGTATGTGATTTTATTTTATATTGATTTGTATGTGTTGTGTGTATATTCATTGCCTATATTGTGTTTATATTCGCATACATTGTATTTCACTCATGTATATTGTGATTCACACATTCCTTCATTCATACTGTGTTTCTTTCACACAATCATTTACATGCATTATGTTCTATAAAATCAATTACTGTTGCTCTATGCCTACCATTACCCTGGCTTTACAGGCCCACACTGGCTGGATCTTTCCCATTTCTTCACATCCTCTCCCCATCTGCCCACCAAACCTGGCCATCCTAGCCATACTTTTAACCAATTACTTTCTTCTCTGGTCCCCCTTTCTGCCTGGAATGCCCTTCCTACATTTCACTTTCCATGTGGCTTAACTCCTGCTTATTCCTCAGGTTCCATTTGAGATGCATTTCCCAGGAATCCTTCTGACTCATCAGATCCAGTATAGCTTTTCCTGCTGTGTGCACTGTCAGCACAAGGACTGCCCAGGTCACGTCTCTTTACTGCAGCATCAGAATTTTGTGTTTTGAATATCTGTCTCTTCTGGCTAGACAATAAGACCCTAATCAGAAGAATCTGTGAGACCCTGTTCATATTTGTGTTCTCAGCATAGTCATACTCAATATTAAGTTTTAATTGAATTTTTGTTGAAGATGAACAAAAATAAGCTTAGTTTATTTGAGGGAGTGGAGATCATATAAAGAAACTAAAACAATGTGTTGGTTTTCTAATTATTACAGAGATTACCCAATTAAAATCAGGTTCTACTACCAAGTATTATTAAAGCACTTTGATCTAATTTGCAAAATGTGTGCATCCTCCTGTTCCTCAGACCTAAGCCCTGATTAGAAATCTAAAGTTAAAAATAGATCATGAGTCTTGTAGTCAAAATAATGTTGAGGAGAGCTTAGAAAAGGTCTATGATCATTGAACTGATATTTTCAAATAAATGTAATCAAGCTTAAAACATTAATAGTAAGTGTGAAAATGATCACTTCCCCTTATCCAGGCCATGGTCTTGGTAATTACTTGCTATGCATCAGAGAGCTGGGCAGTGACTAAGGATGACAGCAGAAGAATCGATGCCTTTGTGTTGTGGTGCTGGAGAAGAGCCTTGAACATATTATGGATCACCAAGAAAGCAAATGGGTCTGTCTTGGAGAGGGTGAAACCACATTTCTTCTTGAAGGCTAGGATTTTTAATCTCTATCTCACATAATTTGGGCATGTGGCCATGAGGGACCAGTCCTTTGACTGGTCTTGGAAGAGTGGAGGGACAGCAGAAGAGAGAAAGACTCTGGATGAGATAGATTAATACAGTAACTGTGGTAATAGAGGTTGGGTGTCAGAGTCAGAGACTGGCTCAGGATAGAGTGGACTTTAGAGCTACTGTACACGGGGTCACTATGAATCACAAGAACTCAACAGAGCATAACAACTACAACATAGTGACTAAACAGCCCAGACCAGACTGTATAATACTTCTTTAGAAGACTAGCTACATGACCAATATATTAGTGTAGCTGGGGCACAGGAAGCCAATTTTAAACAAACATTATTTGCAACTGGAATTTCATTCACATTTTTAAATTTTAAAAAGCAAATTGAA